CTTGACTTGACTTGACTTGTGACTTGGCCTTCAAAGTCAAGTCACAAGTTAAGTAAAAAAATGGACATATTTTTGAAATTTATGCGTCTAATTCTTGTCTACACTAAAAGTACCTATGAGAGCAGAAGCAAAGAAAAATAAATTCTTTCATATATTTCAGATAAGTGGCGGCCAGATGAGAAAACATAGTCAGCTTTTGACTTGACTTGACTTGACTTGAATCTTAAAAACCTCTGACTTGCCCATCTCTGTCACTGACTATGTCTTGATGTGCTCATCTCGCTTACTTATGAAACCAATTCTGTTGTGACGCAATAGAATTTATAGAGGGTATATAAGGATATTAAATGATTCATAGAAGTTTTTTAAAAGCACTGCATATGAGTGTAGTCGAGAGAAATACTCACAACCACACCCGATATTCGGTATAAATCAGAGATGTCCATCGCGACTCGAAAACTGTTGCTGCCGCGCCGTGATGAATTTCCAAAACGTGCACCGCTGCCGCGATGGTACTCGAAAAAAGTTTCAAATTTCATTGCTGTGAATGTATTGAAATACAATTCTTGTCACTAATCGATGAGATTCATTGAGTACTAGAGTGTTACGCTTGTAGACACTCAATTTTTGGCAAATTCATGAAGTTTTGGCAATGTCTTCTAAAAGGACCCTGCCGCTGCCGCGCCATGATGATTTAAAAAAAAATATGCAGCGCCGCTACCCGCTACCGCGGCAGCGGCGCGATGGACATCTCTGATATAGATTGTCAGTATACCATTCTCTATAATAAATATTGTACAGATGCTGTATCGACAGGTTTTTTGCAAACGGTGCATGGTATTGAAACGAATATATATTTTAAAGTCTGTAAAAACCTACACAATTCCATTGATTTGATAAGGTTGATACGTCTGATCCGCCTGTAGTAGCCACAGCATTCAAACAAGTCCAGTTCTGAGATAACTATTTCATTATAGATGACTCTACAAAAATTTTTAATAAAATATATTCTGAAACTGGTTTTTCTCGAAGAATTGGAATTCTTTCTTAAAAAGAAATTCGAATTTGGGCAGAAAACGATCTCTACAATGGTTTTGCTTGGAATCGGTAATATTCAGTGCTAGCGCCGGTTCTTGTAACTTTCACTGTATAGTAGAGTTACTACGAATAAACTTGTGGCATGCGTTGCTAACCATTACTCACTACGGTGAAGTAGTTGAAGTCGAAACCAGGACTCCGAATGGGCCGGCCCATGGGCCGAAAGTGTTTTGGAAATTACTATGAGACAAAAGCGGTTGGAAAGTTTTTTCGATAAGATTCTATGAGACACTAGCTCTGTGGTTTCGTAGAAACAGCATTTTTAAAAGTAGGTTGTTTTTGTCAAGAGTCAGAGCTCTCTTTCGAAAATTTTTAGTGTTTATAGATTCATATGTGTAAAAGTTTTCAAAAAAAGAATCGTAACTGTGAAAAGGAACGACCTAGTTCAAAAAACGCAGTTCCTACGAAACCACAGAGCTAGTGTCTCATAGAATCTTCTCGAAAAAACTTTTCAACTCCTTTTGTCTCACAGTAATTTCCAAAACACTTTCGGCCCATAATGGTCCATGGGCCGGCCCATTCGGAGCCCTGGTCGAAACCGTCTTGGTAATTTCGATGATGGGTAGATGTTAACTAGAAAGTCTTGTATGACATACTCTGTTGTCTTCTTTTTTCGTATGATTTGTTTTCTCACTTTTACAGCATGCCAACACCTAACATTGTATCATTGCATGTCTTTGCGTCGTTTCTCTTCCTTTTTTTTTCTTATCAAATAAGCACTCCCTTCTCATGAAAAATAAATGATGAAAAAGAACGGATAAAGATGCGTTGTTGGAATAAATACATGTGTTCTTAAGACGCTTTTAGTGTTTTTTCTGCAAAAAAATTTCGTTCCTCTCTGACAAGAATTGGTTCAGAAAAAAATTGATTTTAAGCAAGAAAAACACGTTTCAAAAGAACGCTAAGGTGATTTTCAGGACGGAATTTTCCCAAGAATCCATGCATTGCCATTCTTTTGTATGAATCTTTTTCAGGAAATCTGATTATTACGCTATTTCCAACTTTTAAGTTTGCCAGTAGAAAGAGCATCAAGGTTGTATCTGTAAGGACTATCTCAGGCTGACTTAATACCATAATGAAGAGATTACATACATGACTCTCTCCATATTTTGGTGTTTCAAGCATCTTCTGTAGCAAAAAGTTCAGAAAAAGAACTTTTATGAACGCGTTCTTTCAAGAGAAAAAGTGTTCGCAAAGAACTCTAAAGGCGTTTTAAGAAACAATTCTTTATTTCAACAATGCGTTTATATGCGTCCTTTTTCATTCTTGTTTTCATGGGTTGAGAATGACTGCATATAGGTGTCACTGTATATTTACTTTGAAGAAATCAAGTAAAGAAAAGTTGAGTTACTTTACTCGGTAAAGTAAAGGTAAAGAGTCACCTTTAGCACTGCATGCAGCAGCAATAAATAGCCACGAGAAGAGTAGACGACAAGAGATTGCAAAAAAGAAACTGAATTCGTACTTTTCCAATTAAATTCATTTCATATGAAGTACCTAGATTGGTATGCGTTTCCTTATGGATTGAGTTGGTCAGTATCGTTCAAAAACAGACAGTGGTAATAGTGTGTGTACGGGCGTGAGTTTATTTTTTTCTTCATCTATTCATTCAGTCGAATCTAGCCCCACACTTTCACTCTTTTTGAAATTATTTTTATAATAAAAAACAACAATAATAGAATTAGGTCACGAAACAAGAAGAACAGTTAAGAAAAACTTAGTCTGTATTTCTCACACACATTATGTGAAGTCTAGATTTAACTTGTTTTCAGATCCATTGATCCAATATAGATTTTATACTAATTGATAAAAAATTTAAAAACTAATTATTCTCCCTTAGGGTAAATTCATAAGAACACTAATTTGAGGATCGATTCTCTTACCAATATACTCCTACAAGAGTATCAATTTTTCAAGTGAAATTTAATATGCTTTATCAGTTATCATCAATCGCGTCTCACTAACATTTTTTGCTCTTACGAAACCGTCACTTTACCAGTTCAATTAGTCATTCAACGCAGAATCTTCGAGCTCAATTTGCCTACGAAAATATTCCAAGCAAATAATTTTCGTTCTCGACAAAGCTTGACAAATCCTATCAGAAGTTGAAAGTGGTTTATCAGTAGCGTCTTAGTTAGGACTGCGACTATAGATATAGGTACAACCTTTCTGTAGGAAATAGGTATATGCGTATGGGTTGAATGTAGGTATGGATGTGTAAGTATCGGTGTAGGGAAGGTCTGTACGCAACACCCACACCCATACTCTCCATGTGAATGAAGAAGTGGCAATTATTCAAATAGTTATGGATGCATTAAGTAGCTATGCAATGTATAAATAGCTAGAAATCGTTTCAAAGAGTTCGCATAAGAAAAAATTGTATCATTTTTTAGAGTGAGGCCTTTTAACAGGCAGCATGACGAAGGTTTACTTTGATAAAATATATTTGATCTCAATGTCAACACATTGTTTATTCTTGTCTGCCGATACCGTAACATTTTTCATCAGATACGATTTTGCTTCTCTTGTATCGTAGTTTAGTGAATTATACAAGTTTCACTCGAGCTAGAAAACATATATTGATTTTCGGGCAATCTTTCATTCAAAAAGAATGTCATTCTTGTTATCTCAAAACATAGTCATCGTTGAACTTGTTATCAGAGCCCGCTTATTCTTCTTAAGTTTCTGTTTTCAACTGTTCCCAACGACGCTTGAGGGTGTGGGTGTGGGTGTTTGTTATATCATGTTACTTATATTCACACATACACCCCACCCTAACCACAAGAAAAGGGTGTGGGTTCAGTGTGGGTATGGCTGTGGCTGTGTGCAGGTGTGAGTGTCTTTTTGTACTTTCCATCCACACCCACACCTACACTCTTTTATCGATGTTTCTCTTATCAATATGAGCTATGAACATTACTCTAGGACCGGTAAAAAAATCAGCTCCCTTGCACAGTGGGGAGCCCGGCGGACCTATGCGAAAATATTCTTTTTCAGAATCTAACTGTTCGCGTAGATACATACATATGTGATCTATTATTTCCTAAAATAGCGGTTCTCAAAGTTTTATAGAGCCCAAGAAAAAGCCTGTCAAGGCTTGGGCCTAGAAATCAGCATAGATCAAGAAACTCAAGCCGCAGAGCACTATAGCACAATATTCCAGAAGCAAACAATATCGCAAAAAACTTGCTCACCTATGGACTTTATGGTGAAAGAAAATTATCGTAATGCAATTTAAAATAGAGTAGAAAACTAGGAATTCCTATGTAGAAATCCTACTCGAAAACCTACCGTTCCGTATGTTAAAAACCCTACGAAGGGATCACGTCTGATCGAGCGTGTATTTTTACCAGATCTTCCTAGATATGTATTCTAACTATGGTAGTAGCGCCAACTCATGAAACCTATCCTAGGCTGTTTTAGATGGTGCCC